CTTTATATAGTAGTATATTTAGGGTAATGGACATGCCCTTGATGACCCTATTGAAAATTGTACATACAATGTCCATGTTAAACACACCAGTTACTAAAATTGTGCCAGTAACATATTTGTTTTCAGAAAACGTTTTTTCATTGTGGAACTGCGAGGGTTACGGTAGGCGGTCTTTTTCATGTACCTTTGAGATTATGAGTGCAACTATACACAATCAGGGTTAAGTTTCTGATCAGGACTAAGAACAGGGGTTAGAGTTAAGTCTGTGGTTAGGGTCAAAGTTGGATTAAAATCAATATTAGGGTTAGGGTTAGAACACAGGAATAGGTACTCTTCATGAAATTTACCACAGGGCCACCTGCATTAAGGAATGTCCCTATTCCCGCCTCTTGTCACTTGAGAGAGGGTCCTTTTTTCGAGACGACGTCCAGAGTATGAGCAAGAATAGAACATAGGGACTTTTACGACTTTCGAAGGCACTGCTTTTGACCTCAAAGACAGGCCGTAATATTAATCCCGACCGTTGTTTGTAGAAAAAAAGAAACAATTCAAGCGATTGGCAGCCTGAAACACGAGCAATGTCACCGAAGTCCGCATAAAAAGCAGATTTTAAGTGAACATTTCTCTTGCTGGGTTAATATGGAAATTTGAAAACGAGAGATTAGTTTTAAAGATCTTATCCCTTACTATAGTCTGGTAGCCGCGGTTGGAATCAACTAATATCAATGTCACACAAAACTGAATTTGCCGACCTAGAGTGTACCGCTATGAAATTTTTTTCTAAATTCTATGAACTGCGCTACTCACACTCATCCAGTAGTGTTTTCCAGTCTACGCGAAATGCGGCACTGAAGCTGGATTTTCTGTTTTGCCCTTGGACCGAGGGCCTAAGCCCACGAAATAGTTCATATGGCGAAAAGCAATAAGTAATCGGTCCGGCTTAACCTCAAGGACAAAGTGTATGGAACGACATTTTCTGACCCGTGTGCCGTTATCAGCCAGAGATGTCCCAAACCTGGACTGCACATGAGGAGAGATTATTCCGTTATCTCTAACTTTGTCAGTAAAATTTAGCAAGGACCTGACTCAGTACCCGGAAGTGGCATTCCAATGATTTTATCCAGTTTATATTGTCTCTGTAGGTATTCTATCTAGGGAATACGTTTTCACAGTTACATTTTCATCCGCATCCTTCAAAAAAAGTTTCGCCAATTTTCTCAGAGAGCCATATCGGATGGTTGCGTCTACCGGCCTGCGTTTTTGGCTCTTCTCTGTTTCGTAGCCTTTATCTGACAAGCAGATTTCCGCAGCTAAACACATCATAATACATTCCAAATGTTTCATCTACTTGCAAATGTCAGTAGGCGATATTACAAAGTAAAAACATTCTAATATGCATTTTTCAAGTGCAGTATGTGGCCTATCTCATGAAGTGCCGAAATATACGAAAGATCGCTAGTCACTTGCAAGCCGGCACAAATGGGTGGACCCAAACGCATAATTAATGATGGGCGACTTTAAGCAAACTAAAGACATCAAAGAGGTATTAAAAGTTATGCTACATCGTTTGACATACGGATTTTTTAGAAAAGCGGAAATTCCGAAAACGTCAAAAACCGTTGCAACTAAGTAAACTTGGGTTTTAGGGATACAGAAAGCCTATCCACGCAAACAAAATTGAGTAACTAAAGCAGCACGGACCTAATAATGTCTGAGCATCGTTTCTTAGTCTCCTAGGAAAGTTTTTAAATACCCTTCAAGAGCAAGCGTAATGTCAAGTATGACATTTAACCAGTAGTCTAGTTTGTGTATATATTTCAAGGAGGTTTTGCGAAAGTTTTGGGCTGCAGGATGCTGCTCGATTTTGCCTGCAGGGACGTCACAGAAACAAAAGTTTCCATAAGATCGCATGTCGGCAAGCCCGTTAGTGGCTAACAAATTTAGATAGAAACCGTAAGTGTATATAAATAGAAGGTTCCTTCCAAGAAAGTTATCCGCAGGTTCTTTTGTCACTAGGGTGCACTGAACTTCCGATTTCCCGTGAAATGTCAGTGTACACTTCGTGGTCTTTGGTGCTTTCGGTGGATTGTTCATAAAGGTGGATTCTGTGCCTTGTGTTTGTGAAAACTTCAAACCAATGTATTTCTTGAAAGTATTTTCCTAAGCATTAAGTGTTTGGACATTCTTTGAATACAGATGGCCGTGTGGGTCATAGTTTTAGACTCATACAAACATGAAAGCTCATTGCCGAGAAAAATTGACCTGCACAACGAAAATCGGCAATGAATACGCCCTTGATCAATTGAAACGCTTTCTCTATAAGTTGTCCATATTAAAGGCGTTTTGATAAAGCATTTAACCTGTGGATGTCTGCGTACTTTGCCGTTTTCCAAAAAAGTCCATGTACGAATTAGAAGGTCTGTTAGGTTTTTTCAGCTTCCTGGAAACCAGTGACAGTTTTCTGCCGCAAACAAAAGAACTCGCTTTCCTCTTTATATTGGAACCATTTTTGCTAGATTTGCCTACTTTGAGGCTGTTCTACGATTGCAGATGCATAGCAGGGTGCCCATACAAACAGTAAGATATTGCTAAGACTGCTAACCTTCTTGCCATTCTGTTTCCAAATCTCACATTAGCGGAAATTAGATCACGCAAATAGTATTATTCCGTATGCTTAGAAGTTAATTTTGTGACGGGCCTTTTCGCGGTAAGCTACGAGTATTCGTAAACGAGAGAAAAGGGTCAGAATTTTTAAACACAGAATTGTCTGTAGGCCCTATAACTGCATTTTAAAACAAAAAACCACGAAGATTTGCAAAAAGGATTCTTTAAATCGACAGAGCGTCCGGTTTTCTAAACAAATAACTTTGTTTGCACCCCTAGCCTCTTCTGATTCACGTGGAGGAAAAATCAATTTTCAAATGTGGAAAGTTCCGTTTGGTAAAGCTTCAATTTAGATTACTGACATTGAAAAACACCCGCGGATGTGCAAGCTTAGTCTAGAACAACTACTAGCATAGAAAACTGCTCGAACACAAGATAAAGTGGATTTCCGCTCAAATTTACAAATCATTTGACTGATACAACTATTTATGAGCGTAGGCTACACGCCCAAAGGATATTTTGCCGGAACGGCTGGTGAGTAAATAAGGTAGGCAAAATTTTAGGCGCCTAAAACTGATCATCTCCATTTCCGCCATATCGTTTCCTGAGTTTGATCACGTGATATTTCGACCATCATGTCCAACAATGTCCACCGAAGGCAGGGCGATAGGGGGGACGGTGACCTGCGCTGCATTCGCCGCACTCTATTCTTCCTGTGACAAGACAAAGGCGGGAGAGGGGGCAGCTGTCTGGCCCGACTAAAACCCCCACCTAGGCGTGCCGCCACACCACCTAGTGCAGAACGTGCAACTGATAAAGATTTTACATAACAAGAGAATATGGAGGTGGACGGCTCTGATTCCAACTAAGTTGAAGTGTCATAGTGGCCACAGCAATAAGGAGCCTGACTCTCAGTCCACCAGTTGGTTATTCCAGGCAAACATACACACTGGGCAAGAATTATTCCGTCAGTTTCAACCTTCCAAGCCACGGCTTTAAACGGATCATGACATATTTAGGCTTGTCAGATTGTTTGCGATGCTATCAGGCTACTGTCCGAGCCGGACAACCAACAGATGCTCAGATTTGGAGAGGTAAATGTTAGAGTCGAGGAAAGCTTGTTTGTGCGTGCCACGCACGATAGTTCAGTAGTTCGGCCGTCGTTGCCGACGATGTCCACCGTGCCTGCTCCACAACAAGGCGGAGTTGGTGATTAGCTTTCTGCTTATAGAGATGCACGATTGTGACGTCATTGAAATCCTGTGGGACTTCTCCTTGACGCTACATCTCCTGGAAGAGTGATCCATTAGTTGGGGCCTACCGCACTTGTAAATCTCTGCAGGGATCGCGTCCGATCCGGGCACTTTCCCGCTGGAGAGCTGTTGCACGGCCTTGATGGTTTCGTGGAGAGGGGGCGTTGGTCTCCACTTGAGGCAGACGGAAGTTGACGGTGTCGGAGATGGTGAAGGGACGGTTGACGACTTCTTCGAAGTGCTCGGTCCATCACCGTAGAATTTGTATCTTCCCAGTGAGGAGGGCACTGTCGTCGGAGCTGAGAAAAGGAACAGTTGCTTTAGTTGGCGGATCGTAGACAGCTTTGATCGAGGAGAAGATGTTCTTCTAGTCGTTGCGGTTCGCATACTCTTGGATCTTCTCGGCCTTGCGATTCATCCAATCATCCTACATATCGTGCAGCCGCTGGTTCACAAGGCGGCGACTGCGATAGAAGTCTGCGTTGTTGTCGTCGGTGGGGGGGGGGGGGGGACGTAGGTTTGTGCAGGCGGCTCTTCTCAGCGAACAGGTTGCTGATGACTGCGTCGTTGTAATCGAACTAGTCTTGATGTTAGCGACATGCGTGACCGAAAACGGTCAGAGCCGTCGACTGGACTGTGCCCCAAAGTTGACACCATCGATTCTCCGCGGAGGCGTTCCCGGCGGTTGCGGCGACGGCTGGAATGTCGGCTAGCCTTTGAGGTAGTTCATTGATGAAATGAAGATGGTGAGCAGGCAAAGATAACAAAACAATATTTAGGTTGTCAGATTGTCGCTTACCTTGAAGTATTCTGCAAGGCTGTGGGCGAATCCGCATCTTCGAGATGAGGAGGCGATAGTCGGCCCACCCGTCAGCACCCGGGGTCGCCTTTGTCACCAGCACTTCCCGCTGATCTCGCCTCCGGACGAGGACATAGTCCAGCAGGCGCCAGTGTCGCAACCGACGATGCCTCCAGGTGGCCTTCTCGCCCATCCAGAGGCTCAAGAAGGTGTCGGTCAGGATGGGACGGTGTTCTGCGCAGGTTCGTAGGAGGAGCAGGCCATTGTCGTTGGAGCCTTCGAGACCATTGGGATCCAACACCCCTCTCCAGGTGGCATGGTCTGTGCCGACGCGGGCATTGAAGTCACCACTTATCCGCCTTCGGCACAGTTGCTAGGAGGGCATGCAGGTCCTCGTGGAATTTGCCCCTTGCAGCGTCAGGACTGATCATTGGGGAAGCGTAGGTGCTGACGATGATAGCGAATTTGCCTCCCCGGAGAGACCGGCGGAGGCTCATCAGACGACCGTTGACGCCCTGCAGCAGACAGATCAGTCGTCCCATGATGCCGTTCTAAATGGCAAAGACGATACCAGCGTCCCGTCTCTCTGCCTTGGAACGACCGCTCCAGAAGAAGGTGTAGCCGGCACCCACCTCCTCCAGTTTGCCTTGTTCAGAGAATCGGGTCTCGCTGAGTGCGGCGACGTCCACCTTGTAGCCCGCCAGGTCCCGAGCCATTAGCGCTGTCCTCCATTCCGGTCGGTTGCTCCTCGGATTGTCTAAAAGGGGACGAACGTTCCAGGCTGCCAGAGTGAGCGGACTCACCCTGCCAGTCTGGAGATTACGGCTGCGAAAAGGAGGCGGGGAATAAGAAGAAGAAGAAGATGAAGAAGAAGAAGAAGAAGAAGAAGAAGAAGAAGAAGAAGAAGAATAGGCAGGACGAGGAAGAGAGAGATGGGTGTTGTTTTGGTTTTGACTGCTCCGACCGTGTGTTTCTTGTCTGCGGCCACAGCAGCCTACAGACAGCTTGGCCTCCAGCAATTTTTAGGGCATCTTTTCTAGCCCCTTCACCCTCGCATGGGCAGGCAGCGCACCCCCCATAAATAGGGCCGCCCGGTTATCCTAGACGGTTGCCGAACTCCACTATCGGTCGACACCATATTTGTAAGATTGCCTTTCCTAGGGATGCAGCATGTGAACCAGTAAGATGCTGTTGAAAGACAGTTATCCTGAGCGCTTAAACTTACGGGGCAAACTTACGCCTATTCTTCATGAACTCTCTCCTCCCATCGTTTGAGCGTAAAGACTGGCCATCAGTTCAGGTCCCACTTACTCATTCATTTGATCCTGTATTCACTTGCCGTACAGTCAGGCGTGTGAGAAAGGGGGTACGCGAACGCATGCATACCTGACCAAGTAGAGGTGAGAACTGGTTGATTTCGAATAATCTAGTCGGCGCAAAAGCAGCCTTTTAGACTGTCTACCAGGCACCAGTAAACGACAAGATGTAGTTATGTAGCCGCATCTGATGGACACAATACTTTCGGTCTACCTAATTATTTTGAGTTGATGTGATTATGTTGGCATGAGGTTTTGTGCATTTTGGTGTGTGTTCTGTTGACAGCCTTGTTTCTTTGTTGCCGTTTCACCCTTTTCTGGCCTAAGGTCGGTGGCCCTTCTTGACTTTCGGCTTGTCGTCTCCCTCTAACTTTCACATTGCATGTTTTGAAGTTAAGGTTTAGGACTGCGGTTAAGGGTCAGGGTTTAGGTTACGGGTTAGGGCTTAGAGTTAGAGGTTGGAGTTATAGTTTATGGTTAGGGATTAGGGTTAGGGGTTGGAGTTAGGGATTAGGGTTTGCATTCCCAATAACTTTCCTTTGCATAAAATTACTTGACCTCGTCGCCAACGCGTTCCCCGGCCCCACCTGTGAAAAGCCCTATTACCGTTGATCCCGTATTACATTTGGCTGGGGTTTGTTTACCTCAGGTACGGCTACATAACCACGTCTGACCCAGAAATCTACTCTAAAGACCTATGCTAACGGATGCTAGCGACTGCTAAGGTAGTGGCTATTAGGCCAGCGAATCCAGCGCTTTGTTGTCCGAAGAAGTTGGTGCAGGCCCTTCATCTTTCGTGGCCGACACCGGCTCCAAATGACGACCTCACTCTGCCCCAACTCCCTTAATGTCAGTCGCGCACACCCTCCCCCAGGCTCAATGACAACAACAGGTCGACTTCCCCATGTGGATGGTGTGGGAGCGACAACCCTCACTAAACCCTGTCCACTGCGCAAATCTTCATTCTCTGCGTTGTTTCAGTGGCCTAGTGATAAATAACCAAAAGCATGTGCTTGCCAATTGACTTTTCACATCACACACCCTTCGTACCTTCTAAACTTTTTTGGATACTCGATCCGCCAGTCAGTCGCATATGGAAGTATCATTCCTACACAGTCCGCGAAAATCTATAACTCAAGAGCCTGTCAACAGCGCAATCGGCCCGCACTGATGACCGTAGCACCAGCTGCCTCCCTTGGAAGCGCAGGGCAACTCATAGCCATGGAAACGGCCAGATCGTGTCATATGCAGCTCCCTTTGGTTCCGATCGAGGGGGGGGGGGGGGGGGGTTAAGCCTGCACCTTGTATATTCAGCATTCTAACTTCCTGGTTTCGGCCTCGGAAAAAGTCCGCATTTTTCGCTGTTCTGAAGTGAACTGCGGACTCAGTCCTTCGAAGTCTCCGTCCGTTAATGTACTTGCTCCAAAGACCTCTCCTTGCTCTCCTCAACCATGCAAGTGACTTGGGTGTCAAACCGCCCGTCCCCCCGCCTGCTCTGTCGTGCGTGCGTGCGCGCGCGAGCGCACATAAACAAATGTCATCAGGACGACAATAGCGGATGCAGCAGCGTCTGCGCGGTAGCACTTGTCGTGTCTTCTGTTTCACCTACGCACTCACTAGGCGGCGGGAGCGTCCTCATCAGAGGTGGGCCGTTGCAGCTGCAAGCGCGGCGAAAGGACGCGTGCTCGGCTGCGACTCCTGTGCTCGACTGCGTCCGGCCTACAGGTAAATAATCGTCAGGGCAGGGCACAGTGCCGACGAGGAACAGGCGAAAAAAAACCCAGCACCTGCGACCGCGGGGCCTGTCTGCCCGCTTGCTTGCCTACTGGAGGAGACAAGTCTGTACATAATGTAAACAATGGAGACTTGGGTGTGTGCGTGCGTGCGTGAGAGAGCTGCTGTAGATGTCCCCAGCGCCGGACGGCCGGGAGGGTGCGAGCATTGCTGTACGAAATCGGCGGCGTGAAAAGCACTGAACAATTTCCAGCACACACACGCACAACGCGTGCTGTAGCAGTTCCGTTTTTGCGTGCGCTGCCTGCAGGTCCTCATTTGTTTATGCTTTCTTTCTCGCGCTCTCGCACGAGCACGGACACACACACACACACCCAGTAGGTTCTGAACAGTGGCTGGAATGGAGGACTAATGGCGGAAGGATCAACTGGAGGAGGCGGGGGAGGAGAAGCTGCGGCTAGTGGTCAAAAATGGACTGAAGATGGCCGTGAACGCGGCGGAGTGACCTGACACACATGCCCCAGTTTATGCTCGCCACAGTCATCATCGCCCAGAATCCATCCACTCAGACGCTACACACCACAAACAAAAGGAGCTGTCACGACCTGATGGACTGCCTGCATGAGCACCCAGTTATCTCGTCAGTGCGTACAAGGCCAGCCCCCGATTTCTTGTTTTCCTTCTATCCTGAGTTTGGCCCAGATCTATCCTACGTGCTCCAAAAGTTGACCTTTGGAAGGCGGACAACTGACAGACTACTTCGGTTCTCCTTCGGACCGAGGGTTTGGTTGCAGTGGGATCTTCTTAATCACGCCCTTATGGCAGTTCTAAGAGCCGTGGGACCCCAGATGACTAAGGTTTACTTAGCGTCTATGGGAGGCCAGAACATGTGCGGTACGTGTAGATAGAGAGCATCTATGCAGGTCAGTTTGTGTGGCCATTATGTTGTGCAGTCATCTTGACCGTGATTGTAGCGGGTGTAGAGAGAGAGAGTGAGGTAGGTGCTAGGAAAGTTCCCCAACTCCAAACCAGATCACGCCTAATTCATCACTGCCTCAGTGGGGTGACGATAATTACCTTCGGTTAAGAAGTGTGGATTATCGGTGGTGGTGGTGGTGGTGGTGGTGG